CTCATTTTTAGCATGACACTAGCAGTCCTTTACTGATCACACCACCCTCAACAGAGACCCACTGGGCTGTTAGGGTAAGTGTAAAAGAAAACACATTCCATCCATTTTTTAGAAGTAAATGTTTTTCTTGTGTGTAATTTTCTCAGTGAGAGAGTTTTATATCAAATGTATTTCCCATTTCAGAAGTCCTCCCTTTCTGTGCACAGCAGAGCACACCAAGGTGTAGTTTTAGATATGCAATAAGTATTAAACAACCCTTTGACAACCTCTGGTGGGATGTTTTTAAGAAAATGAATTTTAATCTTCTGCCTGGATTTCTTCCAGAATCCTACAATTAGGCACTTTGTTTGTATAAAGGAACCCCACTGGGAACAGTGAAGTGTTTCACCACATCCAGTCTGAGCTGTTAATTTAAAGCTTGAGTTCCTAATTTCTAATTGCTATTCAATGATACAAGCTATATATATAATTTGGAAAAAATAATTTTTGATGTATATGTGGGGATATTTATATTTAGGTAATTTTCAACTCCAAACATTTCCAAAATGTTGGAATTTAATAAAAAAAACCCTTGTAGTTATATGTACTTTAAAGTGGGAGGAATAAGTTTTAGTTGTATAGAGTTTATCAAAGTTACTTTAAAACAGAAGCACCCCTTGTCTGCTGCATGGTAAAATCTCCCAGCTGCCATAACCTTTAAATTTAGGAGCCTAATTTCAAAGCTTTCTCTATGGGTTTACATTTAAATACAATACAGTGGCACTTGCAAGAATTTTGGAAATTTAAGATGAGTACATTACTGACCAGTCTTAATTTCTTGCAAGATCTCATTTTCATTACTCACACAGACACACTTTTTTACTTATTCAGACTATTTCTTACCAACTAGGTGGAAGAAAAAGCAAAGTTTGATGGTATTTTTGAAAGCCTTTTGCCAGTAAATGGTTTACTTTCAGGAGACAAAGTAAAACCAGTACTGATGAATTCAAAGCTACCTCTTGATATCCTTGGAAGGGTAAGTAAGTTGTTTAGATGTAGCTTGTCTCTATTTAGCTTCTCATAATTGGAATGTTAAAAATGTAATTTATCAACAGAGATCAGGTTTTGGCTGAGATTTTGCATCATGTGCATGCTATAAAGCAAGAACATTAAGACTCTGAAGTCTTCCACTTAGAAATAAGAGTAAGAGTAGTAATTTCAACCCTAGGGTAGATTGGCTTCATTGTCTCTCTCTTCATTTACAAGTGGAAATTTGATTTTGGTTGTTTAAAAACAAGAAAAAGCTTTCCTGAATCATAATAGCTGTTAGGACATTAGATTCTGCTGTTTTGTCATTTTTACAAATATGAGTTATTAGATATACCATGAAATCCATCCTCTGTTTGTGCAGGAAAATCCCTTAAAACATCCTCCTTTATTCATAGTGCAAATTGCCAGGTTGGTTTTTCTTTCCTATTGATATTTTTGAGTACATTCTGTGTCAGAGTTCTATCTGCATTACATACTTATATCTCTTCAGGAAGAAGAGCCTCTTGCTCTGTATTATCTACAAAATCTAAGTATGATTTGTTTTAATTCTGTACTTGAGTATTGAGAAGTCTCGAAAGGCTTCGGATTTTATCTTGTTATTGTCACAATAGAAATTCAGGAAACTTTGGCCTCTTCCAGAAAAATTTGTGGACAAGATAAGGCACTGAGGAAATGGAGAAAGGTCCAATCAAGGAGCTTAAATGTGTTAAGGGTCCAGTGATAAAGCAGAGTTCTCACAACTGAGCCTCAAGTCTTGGCTTTTTGTGGACTCCACTGTCCCCAGGTCATATTGATGATGGAACAGGGCTGTGCTGGAGTTCACAAAGTTTTGTGTATCTCTAAATCTTCTGCAAGTTTCATTGGCTGTGCCTCACCTATTAATGAACTAAATTAAGCATTGATAAATGCTTAAATTCTCTCCAACAGGAAATTCAGGGGGGCAGAGGGAGTTGCACATGGTTTTGGTTTTTAGTAGAAAACCCTGATCATCTAGGAATGGAATAGGAATTAGAAATATATTGAATTTTCTGTTGAATTTTCTTGCTAGGAACTGGAATGATCTGCTAGCCCACACCCTCTGGGCAGTGCTGAAAGCCACCTCTGAGTGCTTTTACTCAGCTTGATGATTCTGTAGTTGCATCATAGAATGATGAAAAACCTGCCTGAGTTGCAGCCAGAATTTGTTAGAGCCAGTGTTGATTCATGTGGCCAGAAAACTCTAATCCAGTCTGTTTCATCAGAGAATTTTTAGATAGGTGGTGTAACTAATATGATCTTCACCAAAATCTGTGAGGAGTCTTTAGGGGGCATGTTAATACAATGAATACATAAAGTGTAACTTGGTCTGCAAATCATTTTTTAATCTTAATTGCTGTAGGTCTGGGATCTCAGTGATATTGATAAAGATGGGCACCTGGACAAGGATGAATTTGCTGTGGTAGGTTGCTTTAAATTCCCAATTCACTGTCTAGTCTGTCAAAACAAATAGCTCATTTCTTTCTCAAGAGCTTTGCAGCTTTCTGTGCTACAGCCAACTGTTCTAATCTAAATTGTTCACATGGAGCTATTTCATGACCTTCCTCAAGTCCACCTGCTGACTCTTGCCTGTGTCAGGATTAAACTTGTTGGAATTACATTCAAAACTAATGGCTCTGGTTCACATTTCTAGTCTTACTGTCTTTGTTTTACTAATACATAAATGACTGACACAGCAAGATCTTGTTGCTTTTTCTAATAATTGTGAATGTTATCTGACCTTTTTGCCTTTGCAGGCAATGCATTTGGTTTATAGAGCTCTTGAGAAAGAGTCAGTTCCTTCACAATTGCCCCCTTCTCTCATACCACCTTCTAAAAGAAAGAAGCCATCAGTGTTTCCTGGTGCAGTCCCTGTTCTGCCTGCAAGTCCTCCCCCCAAAGACAGCCTCCGTTCCACCCCATCCCATGGCAGTGGCACCAGCCTGAACAGCATAGGGAGCTTGTCTCCCAAGCACAGCATCAAACCAGCACAGGTACACATCTTTCTTTCTTTCTTATTCTTCTAGATTTGTGGATTTGTAAGCTGTAGGAAAAAAGAAATACATTTTTTGATTTCTGCCTCATGTGTGTTTGGGTGATTTGGGTGGAGAGGGTGAAATGAGAATGGTAAAGCTTGGAAGAACATTGGGTGAATTTTAATTGGTGACCACGAGGTAGAAAATCTTAGGGGGAATTTTCACTTTATGTAGAAAGTGGAACCGTAGAAAGGTTTTGTTTGTGTATCTGCTTTAATACCAAAGAAATCATTAATCTGCTTCTAAATCTCCTGCTATTAGTGTGAGGACTTTATATGCCTAATTGGGTCTGTATTTCCAAAGAATTAATGCTTTTCAACTGATGAATAGCTGTTTATCAGTGTTTTTATTCAGATAAAAAGTGTGAAGTTAAAACATGCAATGAAAATACTTGTTTACTAGTCAGACTGGAGTATGCAAGATGTTCAGCACACCCAGCTCTGGATAATGTCATTTATACTTAGTGTGTTCATAGAAACCATTTCTGTTCTTTTGAAATGCCAACCTTTGTTTTGCAGCCAGCTGTTAATTGGGTGGTACCAGTGTCTGAAAAAGTTCGATACGATGAAATTTTCCTAAAAACAGACACAGACATGGATGGGTTTGTGAGTGGCCAAGAAGTAAAGGACATTTTTATGCATTCAGGTCTATCTCAGAATCTCCTAGCACATATATGGTAAGAATCCTGTGCTAGCTGTGCTTCTGTAGCTTGCTGATCTAGGAACTCAGATTCAGAATGTGATTCTAACATTAAAATAAACAAAAAAACCCCAACTTCTTTTACTTGTCCACATACTGTAATATGTGGACTATATGGAAAATTAAGGGAGGAATAAATACTCCCTTTGCTTCTCTGGGAGGGGGACAATAGGTCAGTCTGTGAATTGGGATTGTCTTTTGAAGTTCTAGTGCTCTAAACATTTTCTCAGACTAACACTTCTCTGTTCAGTTAAATATGTGTAATAAAATACTGCTCTGTTTATGGAAATCTGACTAGAATAAGTTAAGCTCTGATGAGGATGAACCAAAAAGAAATTACATGTATATATGTATTTCAGACCTTTTAGTAGAGCAGAAATAAGATTTTCTTGTTTGTAAGGTTGATCTGTTTTTCATCAGGTCTTTGGCAGACACGAGACAGATGGGAAAGCTCAGCAAAGACCAGTTTGCACTTGCCATGTATCTCATTCAGCAGAAGGTCAGCAAAGGGATTGATCCTCCACAAGTGTTAACTCCAGATATGATCCCTCCCTCAGACAGGAACACACCCATCCAGGTAAGTCAGCAATTTGTTGTAGATACACTGAATTTATGTGCTTTAAAAGTAATGGGCTTTGAGTATGAATTTTGTGGGTTTTTTTTTTTTTAGTATTATGATAAAGAATTGCCAATATTTTCCTTATCTCCTCTTACAAAATTCTTTTAACATTTGAAAATATAGCTAGTTTTTTAACAACCAAGGCAGTAAGTAAAGAAAAATGCAGTAAAATTTTCCATAACCCAAGGAGTAATAATGCTGGAAAAAATGTAGCATAAAGGATAATCCTTTGTCATACAGAAGATTGAGTCAGGGAACTTGTAACAGCAAATATTAAAAGCTGGTTGAGCAGCATGTCCCTGACTGTGATCACACCAGATTACTCCCATGGAAATATAAAAGTTTTTAATGGCTAAATGAGGAGTTCCTGGTTTCTGGGATTGATCCTTTGTAGCAGTCCACAGTCCTGTATCCAGCACTGCTAATACCCCTTTACTTGAGCATCTGATCCTTTGCTGACCCTGCTTTGTTCCTTTCTTTGATAACATGCCAGTGCACTTCTGCAACTGAACTGAGGAAATAACTTCTGTCATGTCCCTACATTCACCTTTTCTATAAATGAAACTGTGTTTTTCTTTACTTTTGTTTGCTTTCCCTAACCAGAAACCTTTGGAACTCTAAATATATTTTAATTACTGCTATTGCTATGGTCCTCCTAAGGTTTTTCCTATATCCTTTTCCTATAGACTCTGTCAGGTTACTTGACCCCTGTAGGAACTGAGATCTCAGCACTAACAGAAATGCGGCGTGTGAGTAACTGCAGTGTCCAAAGGAATGCACATTTCTAATGTTTGCTTTTTGTAACTTCTAACAAGTTTTCATTTCTATACCTTTGCCTGTCTTTGCTCTTGAGTTCTGTGCCACTTGCTCTTGGTGTGGTGATAATGTCACAGCAATGTGAAATGCCCAGCCCTGGCTGCCAGCCTGGTGATGTTCCTTCAATAACTGGAGATTTATTGATCTGGCAGAAGTTCTGGGACAGGCAGCTCAGTGCTGTTGAAATTACTCCTGGGCTGGTTCTCTGCAGCTGTGACCAGTGAATGCATCTTGCTGGTCTTGGCTTGCTGGTTGGGTTCTTGTTTGTTTTTTAATGTTTAATAAAGCCAAGCTTTCTGTGGTTATCACAGAAGTCTCAAAGTAAGTGGAGCAGGTAAACTCTGCTTTCTTCTTTGTGAAATGCTATATAAAAATTGTAGGTCTCCTGGTTTGTCAGTGCTGCAGTTTTTGCTCAGTTGTGATGAGCTTTTTATCCTTTTTATAATAACAACAACAACCAGTTTGGTACATAATGCTGACATCCTTTCTTAACTTATCTAGAAGGCAGGGGATGCCCTCTGTATCTTCCCTGATCTCTGCTTGAATGAATGCAGAAACAACCTACAGGAAATGTGGTATAATTGCAGAAATTGCCATTAATTTGTGACAGGGCTCTAGAAGACTGGACTTACAATCTGATTTCATTAAGTCCATGTAAACCTTACTATTGACTAGAGCAGAACTAAGTTTTAGGTTTTTCATTTGAATTCTACCAATTCTGCAATTTCCTTGTTGGCCTTGTGCCTGTCCTTTCATTGCTGTGTGTTCAACTGTCCTGTCTGTTAAACAGGCCTATCAACAATTCTCCTACCTCATGAGCAGAATTGTGGGGCATGTTCCTTGCTTGTTACAGAATAATTTGATGTCTCTTAAGGAATTTTGCAAATGCAAATAATGAGGATTTTGTATCCCGCCTTTGTTAAAGGAAAAGCTTCTGTTACTACTTGACATTTTAATAGATTGTTTCATTCTTAACAGGACAGTGCAAGTTCTGTTGGATCAGGAGAATTTACAGGGGTGAAGGAGCTGGATGATATCAGCCAAGAGATTGCACAGCTGCAGAGGTAATAGTTGTGGACTGTTAACCATGTCTTGGTGTACAGCACCTAAGTCAGTCTGTAGTACTTAGTTTATTTTCTCTTAGTCATTTTGTCATTATTTGTTGCTTTAATTGGTGGTGGATTTCCTAGTGGTACCCTGCAGATCTATCAGGTGACTTCAGAAGATTGATGATGGGCACAGAAGGCATTTCTCAAAGAATAATTGATACTTATGCACCTTTTCTCCTTTAAAGAATACATGAGAGTACAGGCTGGCATTTTTGTCTGCATGGTGTTTCCAGAATAATATTTAATTGATTTTTCCATGTGTGTTGTGTTATTTAACTAATCACAAATACATGTTCTTCTTTATCTGACAGAGAAAAATACTCTCTGGAGCAGGACATTAGGGAAAAGGAAGAATCAATCAGACAGAAAACCAATGAAGTTCAGGTAAAAACTGTTTATCATCAGTGGTTTTCATGTTAATCTAAGTCATATGTAGCAATTTAGCATTTTTTCTGTCGTTCTATCATTCTTTCTTTCTTGGGATTTTCCTCTGCCTGGCAGAAAAAGATTCATTTTTCTGTTCTCCATCAGAAGTGTTTTCATCTGCTGCTGGCCAATATAAGCATAGTGTATGTGAGCAGTTTAATGTCTTTTTTGTTAGTGTTTAACTAACATGTCATTTAGGAAATCAATGTTTGGAGAGTTTGGTTTTGATAATCAGGGTAACTCAATGCAGTGTGCTCTGTGTCACAGTCCCTTTTCCTTCTTGTGAGCAGTGATTTATTTCCTGATGTCTCACACAAATTCCTGCAGATACAAACAGGCCAATGCAGGGTGTAGCCAAGATGATATAGAAAATATTCTGAATTTTGTTAAGTTCTTTCTCTGTGGCTGATGCTTCAGCTAAATATGAGTTACAAGTTGTGGAATTTTCTTCAGGAGCTGCAAAATGATTTAGATAGGGAAACAAGTAACTTGCAAGAGCTGGAGGCTCAAAAACAAGATGCCCAAGACCGCCTGGATGAGATGGACCAGCAGAAAGCCAAACTGAAAGATATGCTGAATGATGTGAGGCAGAAATGCCAGGAAGAAACACAGGTGGTAAGTGGGTGTTCATTTTGGACCAGGTCAAGAGTAAAATATCTTCTGTTGAGGGAAATTCTGTTTATTTAATAAAGAAACTTTTTTTTTTACCATAAATAGCAATTTTTACACAAATACAAAGGTCCAAGAAAGGATTTTGCCATCTTTAATACCTTCCTTAAATGTCATAAAAGAAAGGTTGAACCTGATGATGTCCAGGGGTCCCTTTCCATAGGAATTGTTGTTCTGAGAATATAGGAAACATTTATTCAGCCAAATCAGTAGTCCTAACCCATGAGACAGTCCATGGCAGTGGTGCTGGTTTTGGTCACCCTGAATGTCATCAGGATTGAGTTTTCAGGTGGATGCAATTGCCAGTGAAAAGAGGATTTTACCTTAAGGTAGAAACTTCCTGTGTAAGGAAGTCACAGAAAAAAAGTCTATAAGGAAGGTTATAAACAACTCTGAATTTTAACTCTTCAAATCAACGTTAAACTGCTTGATAAATGTTTGAATGGGGCCAGGTTCTGAAGGTGAACATCTGGGAAACAGCCTTTGATTACCTTTATAAGTAGTGGGGTATTTCTCTGATTTAAAATAGGATTTCTAGGTTTTATTGAATGTGCTTTTATCAAGGATTTTGTGCAACAGCAGAAGCAGCATGCATTTCTTCATATTAGGTTCTAAAGATTTTCCTTAGTAGTTGATAGGTTGCTGTACCACTTTCTGTTACTTATTGTAAATTCACCATTTAATAAGTCCCATTTATTCCAAATTTCACTCTGATTTTTCTACTGTGTTCTTTCAGATTTCATCACTAAAAATGCAGATTCAGTCTCAGGAATCAGATTTAAAATTACAGGAAGATGACCTTAACAGAGCAAAAGCAGAACTGAATCGCCTGCAGCAAGAAGAGACTCAGCTGGAGCAGAGCATCCAGGCTGGAAAAGTGCAGCTTGAAACAATAATCAAATCTTTAAAATCAACCCAGGAAGAAATAAACCAGGTATTCCCTGTACTTGATACCATTTTTTGCCTCTATTTTTCAGAGGAGGAAAAAATCCTGGTTCATGAAATGAACCTTTTTGACTGGTGTTTAGTGGGGAAATTCCTGGTTTGAGTTAGGAAGCATTCAGTTCTGTTGGGGATAAAATGCAGCTGTCAGGCACCAGTGTTTGAGGAGACTGTAAGAATGCCAGTGTTCTTAAGTGTGTAACATGCTAAAACATTTCTCCCTCTCAGGCAAGAAGTAAACTCTCTCAGCTGCAAGAGAGCCACCAGGAAATGAATAAGAGCATTGAAGAATACAATGAAGCTCTCAATGGGATTCATGGTGGGAGTCTGACAAATTTAGCAGACATGAGTGAAGGCCTTGGGCAGACAGAGAGAAGCAGTTATGGAGCTGTGGTAAAACCCCACTGTTATTTAGTATATTTGACACTAATTAAGCTTCTGACTTGCACCTTATCTGAAGAATTGTTTAGCTGGTATTTGGCACATGGTCTTGTGGATTTGTAACCTGTCACATGTTCAATCTCAGGACAGAGGTGGGGGCTTTATTTCCAGTTTAGTGTTGCATTTTTTAGTCTCCAGTTTATCAAGGTGAAACCTTCTTTTGCTGTAAATTTTCCTTTCTCATGTATTTCCTTCTTATTTCCAAAGGAAGCTTTACAAATTTCTGCTTTACATTGAGCTGTATTTATTACACATCTCATATTCCCTTTCTGAAAGGATGGTTCTCTTTTGCTTAAATAATTTCAGCATCATCTTTCTCATTTATTATGTTTTTACTTAATCAGCATTTTTTTTTTCCCAAATCATAAAATCTTTCAAGTTCTTAAACATTTTTCAAATCAATTTCTTTTGGGTATGTAATGTTGATTTGGGTATTAAATATTCCTCTAAAACACAATAATTTTCTTTTATTTTTTAAGCTTTTTTCTTATTTTAAATATGACAAGATACAAGTTGCAAACTTGCTTGATTCTGCTTGCACATCCATGTGGCCCTTCCTCATTATAGAAACATGTTTAACTGTTGTAAGCACAGCATTTGCTGTGGGTTTAATATGAAGTTGAATCTATAATGTGTTAGTAAATATTTACCAGCCATTGCTGCCTTTATGCAGTACTTTACCCTTGCTCTGTAAAGACAAACTGCTCAAAAGAAGAACAGTGTAGATAAAAGCAGTACATTGAGAAACTAAAGGTCTTAAAACCCTTTAGTGCTTCATTTCTGTGCTTGCATGGCTTGCATAAATATATTTAATTTCCAGTGAAAACTTCCAGATGTTTTCTTGCAAAACCTAGGAGCCACTTACTGGCAGAAAATACCAGTCTATGTTCATAGCAATTTTTTTAAACCATTGTGCCACTTTCCTGTTTCTCAATTCTTCCTTCCTCTTCCTTCTCTCCCCACCTCCCTCCTGCTGTTCTGAGAAGTATCAATTAGGATGTTTTCATTTGCATCTTGTAAAGGGATAAAAGAAATCCTGTCTCTTTCTGGTGTTGGATGTAAGTGGGTTGTTATTTCTGGATATTCCTTGTGCTGGGATGGCCCCCAGTGTCCCTGGAATTCTGCTGTGCAGGTGCTGCCTGCACTTGGGCTTTCAGCAGAGACCTCCAAACAAGACCCAAGCCAGGGATTAGCATTCAGATGAATGAAGAGGTTTCATAACTTCAGTTTGCTGCTTGTTCATGCAGGGTATTTTCTACAACTTGACAAATGTAGGTTTGGCCCCTGCTGAGAAAGCTCTTGCCATCAAAATGTTGGGGTGGCTCTTCCTGCATGAAGTGCTTTGTCATGGGAAATCAGTATTTGGGGCTTTAAGCTCAAAGATGAGTTAACAAGAAGCAATCTAGTATCTGACTGCTTGGTAGTAATTTGTTGTATTTGTAGTCCACAGATTATTTTTGTATCCTTTCTTTTTAAATAAGTGTCTTACCTGAAGCCGAGCTATAATGGCAGAGAAGAATTTTTTGATGGTGTGATGTTTGGGATTGGTTTGCTTTTGTTATTAAAGTATTTGAGAGTTGAATATATTAATATGGGCAACAGTTTAACATTTAATTGCTATTTGTACTGTTATCTTTTGGTGTTCTGTGTAGCCTTGGGTACACATTCATTTCTGCTGTGTAATTACTTATTCAGAAGTCACATATTCAGAAAGTTCTTTAGGAAGTAATTTTAAAGACTGTTAAACAGGAACCAAGATAGCATGCAATTTCTGCTTAATGGGTAACTGGGCATTTTTATTTTTATCATGACAAGCTGTTGTGATGTTTCTCCTCTTAATTTTTAGGATGATCCATTTAAGAATAAAGCCTTGATGTTTACCAATAATACACAAGAATTGCATACAGACCCATTCCAGTCAGAAGATCCTTTCAAATCTGACCCATTTAAGGGAGCAGACCCCTTCAAAGGCAGTAAGTGCTTATCTAGGACCTTGAAGATCAATTGTTGAGTAAATTATATTTTCACAAACTTACCTTGCTAAATAGTAGATAAACCAAATTGTTTTTCTCTTCTGCATAGGTGACCCATTCCAGCACGACCCTTTTGCAGAGCAGCCACCTGCTCCAGCAGGTAACAGCCCTTTGTAATGACAGGACAGGTGTGGTATAAACAATTTGTAGCCAAACACAAAGGGAGCACAAAGGTTTCCCTGGCTACAGATTTTTGGTTTGCATGTGGGAGCATGGAAACCCAACAGGGTGTGCATTCAGAATCAGTTTGTTTAATGAGAAGTGTGTAACTCTTTATTGAGTCTGAAAGCTTCATCTGACATGTTCAACCTTAGTAAATACCCTCTGTAGAGAGGTCTCTGGGAGTCTATCAGATTTATCAAAACAATGTGTTTGTGTAAGAAAAATTGTATCAGTGAGTGTGAGGTCAAATATAAAATGTTCTTTATAGACACACTGGTGCTACACTGTATTTACCTGTTCATGCTCCTTCTAGATCCCTTTGGAGGAGATCCATTCAAGGAAAGTGACCCATTTCGTAGCTCTGCCCCTGAGGATTTCTTCAAGAAACAGGTGAAGAGTGACCCATTTACCTCAGATCCATTCACAAAAACCCCCACTTTACCCTCAAAGGTCAGTAATTTTTAAATCTACACTTAACAGATTTCTTTACTATTGACAGGCTTATTGTCTGACAGCTAAAAAGAGTGAAATAACACAAAATACTTTTTTTCCTAACTGGTGAAATATCATTAATTGTATTCTTAAAATGTAGCTATGGATTGTTTAGGCAATCAGCAGTGTTCCCTCTGGTTCCATGATGATGAGGTACATTCACCATGAAGGCACTTTTAGGTGGATATTTTTCCTCTCTGTTGGGAATTTCAAAGCAGCAGCACCCACCCATTCCCAGCATTCCCTCCATCCCATGGATTTCTGCAGTCATGGTGGTGAATGAGGTGGAGGAACTGCTCTGGCTAAAGAATCCCTGAGCCCTCAGTGGAGGAACTGCACAGAGCACACTTGTTACAGCCATTGTTGCAGTTCTGAGCTGTCCTGATGTGTGTGCTTGTTTGGGGGGGAATATGATTTTTTTGGTTTTGTTTTTATTAGTGTTTTCCTCATTCTTATGCAGTTCATGGAGTGTTGCTACCCAAGACCAGTTTCAGGCTGTGGGAAGTCAGCTTTTATTTAAGTACAATCCTATACTGCAAGACCAACTGACTTGTCAAACTGAAGAGCAGCTGTAAAAATTATCTGTTTAAAAAGAAGCAGTATACAGACTCTCTGAATTATTAATAATATAAATGCATGACCTGAATATTCTGTCTGTTGCTTAAAGACTAAATGCAATAGCCAAATGCACTAATAAAGTAAATTTCATATAATAAGCTGATTTTATCCCACTCTGTCCACTGAATAGAGTGGTCTGAAACTGTAAACTATTTGTCTTAAAGCAAGAGATTTTGATAGGCATGAAATGGTAAATGCACAGTCCAGCAGAAAAATAATTCTGTATATCTGTTCTTATTTAGCCTGACCCTTTTGAAAGCACTGATCCTTTTACGTCTTCCAGTATCTCTTCAAAAGGTCCAGGTAAGAAATAACCATTTAAAATGAGGTTATCTTTTTATGAAAGAATCAAATACAAGAGTTGAGGATAAAGAGTCTTGTGAACCATTGGCAAAAAGCATCATGGTCTTGTCACAGTTCATGAGAGTTTTCTTCTCATATTTTATGAGACATTATCTCACTGTTTTCTTCTCATATTTTCCCTCCAAAAAACTGGTAGGAAACCTATTGTTTTGTGGAATTCTCTCTGAACATCTAAATGCAAGTGTGTTTTAGTTTTGTGCTTCATTGGCACCACTAAGCATTCCTTGTAATTCTTAAGTATTATTCAAAATAACTTTATTTTCTGCATATCTGTTCCAGATCCATTTGGAACACTGGATCCATTTGGAAGTGGTGCTTTCAGTGGTGGTGAGGGATTTGCAGACTTCAGTCAGATGTCAAAGGTAAAGGTTAAAAGGAAAGCAATTGTCCTTTTAAAAATGTATGTGCAGACACTTTCTAAAAGAGTGTGATATGATTGTAACTTTTTAGCTGATAGTCTGATTTTGTTAATTTTCTTCCAGTCAGCCTCACCAGCTATATAGCAAAGAATTTTCCAACCATGTCAGATATGGCAAAGTCTTACTAAGACTGGTAGATTCAATAGGGATAAATACATTTTTTCACAAATATTTTCAATGACCAGATCAGGAAAATTAATTAACTTCTAGTTTTAACTTGTAAGAAGAGGTAGTTGTTGCAGCTATTAATATATTTCAGTGCCCAGCCTTCATCTAAGTCCTGGAATTTGCTTCTTGGTTACTTCATAGTAAGTATCCTGACTTGTTTCTAAGCTTACCATAAACACATTAAGATTGGATAAGGCCTCTAAGATTTAGGTCAACTTTTAACAAAATATTATGCTACTAAGGAAATGTAACCTAACCTTACTCAACTCTTAACAGTCAGTCAGTCTCTCCCATGTTTTAAGTGTGCAATTTCTGTCCATTTTAAATAGCAAATCAAGAAAAAGGTTCAGGACACAAATGAAAAAAATGGATAATTGGAAAAGTCTTGGTCTTCTTTCCTGAGGTGGAGTTTGGAATTTAGTGAACTCAGTTCCCAACTCCTTACATTAGTGGAGTAAATGTTAAAAATAAAATAGTTTATCATTTCACTTTGACTAATTACATTTCTTGGTGGTTTTTTTCCTCCCCTACCTTTTGCTATTTTGTTGTAGCTCTCCACTAGGTGGCAACAGCCTTTACCAGTAGACATGGCTGGCTCGAGGTAGAAATTTTAGCAAAAGTTTGACTGCGATTTTTACCTTTTTCACAAAACTCCTCTTTCTTCATTTCACAATGATAAATTTCCCTGCATGGCACAATACTTTTGTGCTTCTTCATCACTAGGGGAGTCCTTTAGAAAAGCTGTTTGAATATAGGAAGATTTAAACACGTGCTTTTGGATATTCCCTAAGGTTTTGACTAAAAAGTCAAATACCTATGTGTGACTTCAGAAAAGCCTGGAATAAAGTTATCCCTTCTGCACTGTTTTTCCAGGTTCTGTCATGGTTCTGTTTATTAGAGTGAAGGTCAGGCTGTGGTATTACTGTTCATTGCCAAATAGTAAAAAGTCAAGTTTTACTTCCTTTTATTTCCTCATCAACTTTTTTTGCTGGGACTAAAAGTTCTAGAAGTACTTAAATGATGAAAAGCATCAGGTCTTTGATTGTCTATGGAATCTTAGCACCTCTGTCCTTGGGCATTAGCCTCCTACACCACTTACAATTCTGCCCTCAGATTTTGAAGTTAATGCTGTTACTTGACTTAACTGTAGCTTCATGAAACCACAGGTATTCTCCAGTGTGCTTACATCCCTTTTCTTTTCTTTTTTTTCTCATGTAGTCAGTACCTTCAGACCCCTTTGCCTCCTCTTTTGGAGGGGCAGGATTCACAGATGACCCTTTCAAAAGCAAATCAGACACACCAGCATTACCACCCAAGAAAAATGTCCCTCCACGACCCAAGCCACCCAGTGGTAAGGAGGTTTTCTTCTTTTAAAAGCTGCTTCTTTCAATTTACACTGTATTGCTGGGTGTAAGAGCAAGTTGACAGTCTGCTATCTGTCTTATATTTCAACCATGGAGGAAGATGTGAAGTTATTGGTAAATTGACAAAATTATCAGTAAACCAGACTGAAACTCTTCAAAGTGGAGAACAGATGATGAGAGTGCTATTACAGATCTATAAAATCACATGTGGCAGGAGAAAACAGGGGAAAAAATCCCTGTATTTTCTAAGTAGGCAACATATAAGATTAGTAAATGGCATCTTTAAAATGAAAAGGTTTGTTTTTATATGGTAATAGAAATTCAGGATTTATTTCTATGTTTGCCAGAGAATATGGTGAATGCCAAAAAGTTTAGTCTTAAAAAAACCCTCTAGATAATTCTCAGAAGAAACAGAGAACAACAGGGTGTCCCAAAAGCCAACTCCTGGCTCCAGCTCCTTTGTAGCTGATAGCAAGGCAGTCTGGCTGTGGCTGCATCTTCATCTTGCTTTGATGTTCTTCCTGAGGCATCTGCCACTGGGTCCTGCCAAGGCCAGGGTGCACAGTTAGACCTGTCCTGACCTGTCTGCCCAGCTAGGATCATTCTTGCATTTGCACATTACTGTGTGGATTAAACAGAAAACACTGTATATATGTATATATACACTGTATATATACACAGAGTATATATGGCTTTGTTCCTGCTTGGAGTCCATCATTTATGGAAATCTGGGAGATATATAAATCTCATGAATTGAAAAGAAGATCTCTCTCAGTGGAGCTTCAATTTCTGTTCTCCCTGTAGTTGTTTTCAAGCTATTCAGCTACCAGTGAAACTGTTTAAAGAACTGAAGCCATGCAGTTTCAAGTCTCCTTTTAACAACAATGGTAGAGTTCAGTTGATATCAAGAGGGAACTTTCAGTTGGCTCAAAAAAAAACCCAACAGATGCTAGATGCTGCTGATGGTTAGGCACAGAATTTTGCACTAAACACATTGATCATCATGTATTTATATATCCACAGACAGTATTAGGGAGCACAGTACAAAAAGAGCAGATCCATCATTAATGTCTCCTGCAGTGTGTGGGTTCTCTGCCTTTGTGCTGGTGCATTTTGGAGCAGAGCAGGCAGCCTGTTTGTGACAGGCATTGTTGATCTGGCTGGTTTTGCACACCAGTTATTCCAGAACAAACTCCTTGGACAATGTGAAAAGTGCTTGCTTATTACCAAGGTATCCTTAATGTCATTACCTATCCCATAAATTGATCCAAGATGTGAAAGATTCCATTGCACACAGTACACTTACAAGCAGACCAATGCAGCAGTATTTGTTCCTGTTGCTGGGATTTTATTGCTCAGGAGATTATGGTGCACCCAAAACCCTGAAAGCAACAAATGAGAGGATTTTATAGGTGAGTATGCATGTAAAGTTGTCAGGAAATGCTCTAGGATTGTGAAAAAGCCTTTGAAGCAGTTTGTTCTATGCTTGCTTTGTGTATTTTCTACTATTTTCTACTATCTACTAATGAGTTTTCAGTAATTAAAAAAAAGCAAACCACATAATATGTCTTGTTGACAAATATCCATCACTAGGACAGACATGAAGAAAAGGAGAAATAGAAATGCTAAAGGGAATCTTATTTCACATTGTGAATGATGTTATTTTTCCTTATTGGGTTTTCAAGGAAAGAATGCAAATGGCCATCTTTCAAAAAAATATCTACATAAAATATTTTAGAGTTAACAGGGCCTATATAAAGTTGGATGATTCCAATAAATACTAGATATACCCATGTAATCTCTTATATGTAGTTTCTTTGTATTTCTTGTTAGAAACATGGTTACTCTTAGCAAATGCAGTGTAATAGTAGCAGGAAAGGTGAATATTGACTCCCTCACATGAGGGTTTTTGGCTTTCTGTGTCCTCATTCCCTCTTTTGTACATACTGAGGAATGTGGGGAATATTCAGCTGTATTAATATGTTTTTTTATTTAGACACGTGCACTCAGCCTTTAATCAGTTGGTTAAAAATGGTTTTAAGTGTGTCTCTTCCCCCCTTCTAGGGAGACACACTCTTTGTGAGGCTCCACGCTCTACCAAAAGCAAATGTTGTTATGATAAAATAGGCTAAGGAGGAAACAACAGGTTTTTTTTTTTTAAAGCAAATGAGCCTCGTGTGTTTATGCAGTTCTACTCCTCCCTTCCTTCCACAACTAAAGCAATCTTCAGTGGTTACTTAAAGCATGAGAAATCATATAGTAATATAGTGTGATTGTAGCGAGAGATACGGGCATAAAATGTGTGTTAGAATGGCCTCAGCAAACAAACAACAGACAAGAAGCTTCCGTTGTTTCTTACCTTTCTTACCTTGGTCTCTTTAATTAAAAAAACAAGTAAGTGATAAAGATCTTGCTGAAGGATGAATAAATGCTAATTATTATCAGACAAACCTGTAATTTGCCTTTCTGTTCCATGATTGTACTCTTTTTAGTAAAACTGTTCTTTCTGTTGGGGGGGGGTTAATATTGAAAAACACTTTTGTGGTTTGGTTGCATTTTGGTAGGCAGGTGCAGAAAGCTCTGAAAGGAAACTTTACTTGTCCTCTAACCTCTGCACTCAAGTAGAAAATATAAATACTTTTGCAGAGTGTTGGAAGCTGCCTGATTTCCCAGGCTTTTGATAGTGGAAACTAAACAGGATCCACCAGGGATTGTTCCTGATTAGCCCTGATTTGGTGCTTTTCTTTATGTGAAGCTTTTGCACATGGCATGCAAACATTGTCTGATGTCCCATTGAGGATTGCACTGTGTCCTTGGACCAAAGTGTGCCACAGTTCTCACTTTGCCCATGAGTCTCTTTTTTGTCCAGATGAATGAGGAGTTTGACATCAGGTCTCGTTCCTTCATGAAAACAAAGAGCAAACAGAGCAAACCCTTGCAGCTGAGCACAGGATCAGGAAAACACTTAAATGGCACATTCTGAGTTGGAAGGGACCCATCAGGACCATGGAGCCAGAGTGCTGGCCCTGCACAGGACACCCCAACACTCTCACCCTCTGAAGGGCTGGAAGCATTGTCCAAGCACTTGTTCAGCTCTGACAGCCTTTGGGCTGTGGCCCCTGCCCTGGGCAGCCTGGGCAGTGCCAGGCTGGAGGGGCAGAGCCTTGCCCTGAGCTCCATGCCAAGGCCTGGCCCAGCTCCAGCCCTTGCTGGGCTCCTGTCCCTGTCCCAGAGCAGAGCTCAGCCCCTGCCCCTGTGCCTGCCCTGGGCAGGAGCTGCAGCCCCCAGGAGCCTCCCCTCAGTCTCCTGGGCTCCAGCTGAACCAGCCAAGTGCCCTCAGCTGCTCCTCAGCCCTTCCCCAGCTCTGTGTCCCTGCTTTGGCCACTCTCCAACAGCTTTGGCTCCTTCTGATCTCGTGGTGCCCAAAGTGCCCCCAGGCTGAGGCTGCCCCAGTGCAGAGCAGAGCAGGAGAATCCCATCCCTTGTCAGGGTGGTGCTGCCCTCCAGAACATGGTGACACTTTGGGCTGCTGGGGCACACTGGTGACTCAGATCCAACTTGCCACCAACCAAGGACTCCCTGGTCCCTTTGCACATGGCTGGTCCAGAGCCTCTCATTCCCCAGTCTGTCCCTGCATCCAGGGCTGCTCTGGCACAGGGGCAGGATCTGGCACTTGGCATGTTAAATTGAGGATTGCTCTGCCCTTTCCTTTGTCAAGATCTCTGTGCAGCACATCTCTGCCTTTAAGGGAATCAACAGCTCCTCCCAACTACGTGTCATCACCAAACTCACTTAAGTCTGCCTTCCAGTCCCACATCCAAGTCCTTCATGAGGAAGTTGTAGAGCACGGCTCCTGAAATGGAGCCTTTTGGACATAACCTGTGTTTACCATGTAGTGATAGAGCAAAAGGCCTTCAGGTGTTCCTGGAAAGACCTCTGAAAGGAGTTTGTGGTTCAGGGGAGCTGCTCTCATATCCAGGTTCTGGACACAGCCTTCACACAGTGTGTAGAGAAACTTCTCTGCTGCTGCAGGGGGTGTCAGGATTGCAGTGGGTCATCAGGTCTGGTCCTACACACCCTGGCCTGTTCTGCTTGTAAAGTGGAAATGGGTTGGTTTCTTTGGTTTTGGTTGATATTTGGGTTTTTTCCACAGCTGGAACATTGAGGAGCAGCTGTGATCTGAGTGTATTAGTAGATAGTTCAGTTCACAACTCTCTCTGTGAGAGGGAAAACCCTTGTGTGGCATGGATTAGGTACCCTGAGATCCATATCTTTCCTTTCTTGAGTACTGAGATTAAGAGAGGGTATGACAATCACAAGATTATTTAATTAGATTTGTATCTTGGGTAGAATCTCAGCTTTATGCTACTTTTGTTCATCATAAATAATTTTCTTTCGTTCTTACTTTATTGTTGACCAGTCTGTCAAGATCTTTTAGATGTTTCAGAGTCCTAATCTGATCCTTGCTTGGTCCAAGAGAAATCTCATGTTTGTTTTTATGGTAAAATACTCTTATACTCTGTTATACTCAGTATAACAGTTTGGAAGTTAAGTGCAGAATCTCTTTTTTAAAGAGATTTGGAGGAAGGTTAATAATTCAGTAGAGACTAGCAAGGGGAAGGTGTTCCAGAAGGGGCAAACCTAGATACTAGTGTACCTCAAAGCTCCAATTTACTGTTTCATGAGAAGATTTGGAACATCACTATCTCTGTCCCATATTTAAGATTCTCTTTAGGTTGAGGAAGATCAGCCAAGAAAAAGTTCTTTAGCTCTTCTGGCAAGACTCTTCAAATGAAAATCCCCAAGAGAATTGGGGGTTCTGAAGATCATGGTGTGCATGTTCTTCAGTAAGGTATTAATGCCCATGAAGGTCCTAATGGACATTAGGTTTCATAGGGCTCCCCTAGGACCTGGCTGGAGTGATTTGATGTTCACCAGGTGCTACTGGAGAACTTGCAGGTTTCTTTGGAGAGGAGTGGAACGTTTT